ATGAGTAAGCCTAAATATAGTCATGTGTGATCTTATTTGATTTTTCCTAACATATAGATTATTAATATATAATTTCTATTATTTTTTAATATACAAATTATAAGATAAAATCGATTAAAGTAGTGTATTGGATGGTGTGTAAAAATGAAAGTGGACAAATACTCTAGTCCAGGATAATTTTCTACACTAGTCCACTATTTTCTAGTCCACTATTTTCTACGAGCATAATTTTTCCAGAATCTTTTGAAAGTATCAGGTGCACAATTCTTTAATTCCTTACAATCTTCTAATCTTGTAGGACTTCTGCAAATATCAGGCGCAGGATCCACTTTTTGCTATCAATCTTCAAATAGCAGGTGCAAAATTTACTTCCTGCCACTAATTTATGATTAACTTCTACGAGCATGATTTTCCACAATTTTCTTTAATGATGATTATTATAATTATTAATTATGATTATAATTAAATTAATTACTATTTTTAAAGTCTATTAAGATTAACAAAATTAATTTTATTATTACACTTACAATAATTATTATTATTAATAGTTATTATTAGTATTATTGATTGTTATTACTCCCTCCGTCCCACTGTCTTTGTCCACTTACCTTTTGGCACACCATCCAATGCACTTCTTTAATCCATTTTATCTTGTAATTTGTATATTAAAAAATTATACAAATTATATATTAATAATCTATATGTTAAGACGAATCAAACAAGATCACACATGACTATTTTTAGGCTTACATATTAAGAGAATTTGATGAGTCAAAGTGCTTAGATGAACAATTCCAAAAGTCAAAAGTGGACAAAGACAATGGGACGGAGGTAGTAGTTAATAATAATAATGATTATTATTATCATTTTAATAATTATCATTGTTAATTACTATTACTATTATTATTAAATACGATGATAATAAATTATTATTACTATGAGTATTAATTATTTTTAATATTATTAATTAATTATAATGATTATTATTAGTTTAATTATTATTATTAATTAGTATTGTTGTTATTTATTTTAATTATTATTATTTATTAGTAATGATATAAGGATTACTATTTTATTATTATAATTTTCCATGATTATTATTATTTTAAAAATTAATTATTTTTTAAATAAATTTTATATTTGAATAGACCTGTTCTGATATGAATAAATATGTTCTGATTTGCAAAAATGTAAATAAATTTAGTACTCTCATCGTCCCTAAATATTCACAACATTTGCTTTTTCAGCAGTGTCGAAAATTTTTGTTTATTTCGACGTTTTCATTGATTATTTGATAAAATAAAATATTCTTGACACCTCTTATTTTGAAGAACTTTTCATGCAGTTTTTTTATATGTAAATTTTATTTTTTATTTCTTTATCAATATATAAATAAAATGAATTGAAAAAACTTGATATTTTACCTCGGAAATATAAATGTGGCAAATAATTTGGAACGGAGGGAATATGATTTGATTTTGATAAAAATAAATAATAAGTAGCAGAAATAAGTTGAGGATAATGTGGCATAAGTGAGCCAATGGGCTTATTACACTAACATTAGTTTATTCTAAAAGTAAAAATGAAATTTGCACTAAATAGAAGTACTACGTAAAACATAAGTTATTTCCCAATGTATGACTTAAATTTTTTTATTCTCTATATAGGACTTAATAATGACTAGTGAGAAGAATAATGTCAAATTGATGCTGAACATTTAATTGAATAATGACTAATAGATAATAAACAATGATCCCTACATATAATTCTATATTTTGAAAGTCATTATTTTTTAGTCATATTTGGATAGATTACCCATCCTAAAACGATACATCTTCCACCATATAGAAGAAAAGTTACACTTTTCCTATTTTCTAGAGTTTTAAAAACTTTTTAAAAGTGTTAAAAGTTTCACTTGCCCAAAAGGCGATAAAATTATCCCTTTTTTTGATTTGATGTGTTTTGCTTTCTTTTCACCTTCTTGGTTCACTTTTAAAACTTTATTTCTTTCCTCTCTCTTTCTCAATCCCTTTTTTATTCTCTCGCACGTACCAAACAATTCTTCTCTCGATCACATCGATCTCTGAAAAAAGATTTTTTCGGATCATACATGTTTGCATATAATCAATGGCCCTTCTTAAAAAGGTTCACCTTTTCTTCTTATTTATTGACTACTCTCTTCTAACTACTACGTAGTATATTCATCTACTTTTAATTTTTAGAACTGTCATCTAAATACTTTGACTCATCAAATTTTCTCAATGTGTAAGCTTAAATAGAATCATGTGTGATCTTATTTGATTTGTCTTAACATATATATTATTAATATATAATTTCTATAATTTTTTTATATACAAACTACAAGATAAAATGGATTAAAGAAGTGTATTAGATGATGTGTACAAATGAAAGTGGACAAATACTCTGGAACGTAGGGAGTACATTACACCGAGTATATGTCTCATTCTTTTTATGGTCTAGCTCTTTTAATTTGTTCATTTTATCGTAAACTTTTTAGAATTTTTAATTATATATTGGATTCGTTCCCCATAAATCTTTTTATATATGAAAAGTTAACTTATGTTGAGCATGCAGTAATCCCCTTCAACTCTCTTAGATCAAGACTTATCATAGAACATTGAAAATACCCATGAAGCTCCATAACTTCAAACTTTCTCTCTCTTTAACGTCACCTTTAACTCATCTCACATTTTTAATTCTTAACCTACTTATTAAAACATATCTTTTTACTAATAATTTACACATTATATCATACTTTATTTATTATACTAAAAGTGCTTTTAGCAAGTCAACATAAAATATCCTTTTCTTAAATTTTTTAAAAGTTAAAATGAGAAAATGGAGAAAGTATATATAGAATACTACTTCAAACTCCCTATATTGCATGCATGCATGCAGTACGTATATATGGAGCAGCTCAAAAACATGAAAATCGGTACGTACACGGTACACGATCGTATTTATACTCCGTATATTATATATCGGGTGCACGTCAGTATATACGGCACGTCTTTTAGAGTGTTGGCTTAAAGCCTGTCGTCCAAGAAGGTATATATATACGGATCGTATATCGCTGTCTTTTTAGCTCTTCCAAATTTAAGCCTTCTACGGTGCAAAAAAGATTTTTATTATGCGTTGTTTTTTGTTGGTTTTTTTTTCCGACAAGAAAAATATAATGATACTACAGTTTTGTTTCCATCTTTAATTCTTTATAGAACGTATACAAAATAAATGACTAATATAGTAATACTACCTCACGTATTTGTTCTATTTTGATTTTTATAATTAATTATACTCCGACATTTGATTTCGAACTAAATAAAAATTATATGTTATATGAATTAATTAAATATAATAATATTTTGAAAATATTGTATAAAAACCTAAGAATTTTTTTTATCGATATCTAATACTCCTTCAGTCCCATAAAGTCATTCTCGTTTCAAAAAAATTACATCCCTTAAAGTCATTTTTATTTCTATTAAAAAATCATTTTTACCTCTTATTTTTTCATACTATACTTGTCACATCATACTTTTTTTCTAATAATCTACCCATAACATTAAAGGTATTTTTAGAAAGTTAACACAAAATTATTTCTCATTATTTTACCACTTTAATCAAACCATCTCAATCTTTATGGGACGAAGGAAGTACAAATTGTATTTAATTAGTAGTTATAATTTGTCAATTTTGACTGAAAAAGTAGACAAATAGGAAAGAGAAAAAGTCACTTGTGAAATTTCCACACCAACAGCACAACAGATAAACCAACAAACACACGCACTTAACACAGCAGAAAGTAGTTAGAAACTGTGCTGTAGCGCAGCAACTAGGTTTCACAAACTGCTACAACACTTTTTCTAACACCAGAACAAATAAACGAAAGCAAACAAAGACACATAGATTTGTTTACGCAGTTCGGAGCCAACTCTCCTACGTCTGCGAGGCCCACATCCGTGTAAAAGCCTTTCCACTAGATCATCATAAGAATTACACAATCAGACTCAACAGATCCTTCTATTGAACAGATTTGTCTACTTACGTGATCAGACTCCAAACTCTGTTTGTGGTCAAACCAGGCCTATTACACCTTCTCGTTGCTCTGCAATAAGGATGTGTTCTTGACCTTTGCTCAGTCTCTCACGATGCACAAACTGAACAATACTTCAGAGAAGATCCATGGCTGATCTTCTTGCTGTAATCTCTCGTATGAATATATGACACGCTCTCTCTGTAACAGATTAACTCTCTCTTGTTGTTCTCTCTCTATCAGCTGAATATATCTCTTTATTTCGCACGCATCTGCCAAGCGTTAATCCCCTATTTATATCACTGGAATCGTATAGGATGAAACCCTAACCTGTAGTCTGTTAAACTCTTGCGCATGCATTGAGTCCAGAGGGAAGACGTCGATTAGGAATCCTTCGTTGAGCAGATCTTCTAGCATAGAGTCCTAGTCCAGGTTGCCATGCAGGATGACCAACAACACAAGTCTACTATCAAAAGGACACTACACTACTATCAACTCGTGGTTGTGTGTTGTCAAAAATAATGCCAACCCAAACGCTAAAAAATAAAGAACCAAATATTAAGGACCTAACAATCTCCCCCTTTGGCTATTTTTGACAAACACAATCACTTGACACTCAGCCAGGTCTAAACCTCTTCTCCCCCTTTTGGAAAAAATATGCCAAAGGCAAAAATTGTATATTTATTCAAGAAACTGGAGAAGAGTAATATTTAGACAACTGGATGCAAGAGTGTGTACATTAGTTCAGCTAAGACACCTGAAAAATGGTCATCCTACCTGTGCAAGGACCTGAGTGAAAACCAGGGGACCATGTGCAGAAATAAGGGACAGAACAATTCCTTCAAAATATTGAGTAGCATCAATCCTTACCAAATCATACCCAGATCATAACACACATAGTAGCAGCAAAATATATGAGTTGATGAATCCATGTCACAACAAGAAAAGGGACAGAACAATCCCATCAACATAGTGAATAGCCAAAAACAGTAGAGTTTTGCAAAAACAACTTGGGATGTTTAATCATCAAACTTGTGGAGTTCAGCCTCAAAGTCTGATTCTTCAGTTGCTAGGTTATCATCCTTTGTATCTGCACTTTCCTCTCCTTCCTCAGTGGCTTCATCATCTTCACTTTGCTCCCCCTGTGTTGTAGCACCATCTGGTCCTCCTTGCTTTGTCTTCTCCCCCTGAGATTTAGCAGCTTCATCTGAAATGGTGTCCAAAGAGGACAGAATAATGGCCCATTTTTTCTTCTTGATTTCAGCTTCTTTGATCAACTTCCTGTATTCATCAATCTTCTCTTGCAGAGACTGAATTTCTTCTTTGATGAAAGCTGTTTTGGAAAAATCTGACTGAAGAACTGCTGGGGCTGTCTTTTGTTCCTCCCTCGTGGCCATATCATTGTAATGTCTTCCTTCAAAGTGCCTTAAATCAACCTGGAGAAGAGGAGGAGCAGGTTCTTCTTCATCTGCAACTACAAGCTTCTGAGATTTAAGCATTTGATAAATAAGAAGAGGATAAGGAAGCCCATTAGAATTCTGTTTGGCCTTCTCAGATGCGAAGCTCATGATCTGGTCAAAGATGATTTTTCCAAGATTCACAGGTATCTCATGCTTAATTTTGTAAATGAGTGTGGCTATACAGAGTGGGACTGTGTTCATATGGGTGGTTGGAAGCCAGTGATATGCAGCTACCCTGAACAGTATGGCATAGGAACTTTTAAGGATGGAAGAGGGCACTTTTGACTTAGTAGATTGAGAGATACGCTCACCATTAGTGAGGTCAGTCCAGACTTGTCTTTCATTTACATTGGTCTCAGAGGAGGGGGGTTTTAGGTGCAGAAACTGATTAATTTTGGCAGGGGACAGATCAAAGGTTTTCCCTCTCACAAACACTTTGTGGTATGAAGGGTCAGTGTGAATGTTGCAACCCTCAGACAAATTGCAGTAAAACTCTTGAATGATTTTTCTCACATAAGAACCAGGCAGAGTGACTGATTTAAGCAAATTACCCTTTTCAGCACAGGGATTAAGTTTGTTTTTGATTCAAAATCCTCAACATCAATACTTCTTTGTGGCAGAATAGTTTTCTTGGCTATTTCAGGCATGCATGAACTGGCTATTGAAGAAACAAACAAATGTTTAGAAAACTTCCCTGGTTTGGGTGACTTTTCTGCTTTTGCATCTTTCCTTTGGTTGATCTGACTTCTGGTTGTGAGTTTTGTGGGAGGTGATGATGTTCTCTGCTTTTTTGAGCTCTCCTCCTGGTCATCCGCTGCTTTCTCCTTACGCTTAAGTTCCTTCTTTGGCACTTCTTTTGTTTGAATTTCTTCAAACCCTTTTGATTCTTGATTCTTCTTCGCCTTTTGTCGCAGCGACCATCTGGATCTAGATTGTTTTGCCTTCAATTTCTTGGATGCTGGGGTTTTGAATTTTACCCCTTCAAATGGCACATCAGAACATGCTATCAAAGGTTCCTCGTTCACGATCTCTGGTGTTCTCTTTTCTGATTGTAGATCTTCCTCCCTCTTACTTTGCATGTCCACTTTTTGTGGAGTACCTGTGAATTCTAGAAGAAATATCTCTGGGAATGTGGCTTTAGGGTTTAGAATCACATCATCTTCTGCGACATTTCTGACTTCATCGTCTACTGATCTTGGATCTGGTTGCTCCATGTTTGATTCTCCTGAATTTGGTTGCGGGAGATTCTCTTCATCTTCTTCTGCCACCTCTGGTTCAAGATCAACACTGGTTCGTCGTGATCCTTCAGCAACTAGTAGACGCGTCCATTTGTGCTTTGCCCAGAGTTTCCTTTTGAGTGAGGGGTTTCCTTGACAGCGCTTGGGAAGTACATGCTTAATTCTCACCATTTTCGACTCTTTCAGTTCTGTTTGAGCTTTGAATTTGTGAAGATAATTGAGGATCTTGAGTTGCCTCTTTTTGACAAGATGATAATGCCGAGGTCCTTATTGTGGCGCTTGCATTTACGAGACGGAGCAGGTGACTCTACGTATCTCTCGTTTTGGATGATGACACGTGCTAGAACGCCTTTTCCTTTCTTCTTAAAAATTCAGCAGATTGTATAATATGAACACACTAGCTGACAATTTGTGTCCACTTTTTGTATGCATGGTTTATTGGAATGGTGCGCACAGACCCAAATTGGATCTGAGGGTCTCAAATCTTTCTCCATCAAGTGCCTTTGTAAATATATCAGCTAACTGATGTTCAGTAGAAACATATTCAAGAGTGACAATTTTATCTTCTACTAGCTCCCGTATAAAATGATGTTTGATGTCAATGTGTTTGGTACGTGAGTGTAGTACTGGATTTTTGGATATATTTATGGCGCTTGTGTTGTCGCAATAAATGGGAATAGTATCATGCTGGATTCCATAGTCAGTTAGCATTGACTTCATCCACAGAAGTTGTGCACAACAACTTCCGGCAGCTATGTATTCAGCTTCTGCAGTAGATAATGAGACTGAATTCTGCTTTTTGCTAAGCCATGCTACTATATTGCCTGCGAGATAGAAGCATCCACCTGAAGTGCTTTTGCGATCATCAATGTTGCCAGCCCAGTCTGCATCACTATATGCCATAAGTTGTGCTGGAGCACCTTTAGAGTACCAGAGACCCATATTGTGTGTACCCTTGATGTATTTCAGTATTCTTTTTACTGCCTTCATATGTGATTCTTTAGGCTTGGCTTGATATCTTGCACATACTCCCACACTGTAGCATATATCAGGTCTGCTTGCAGTAAGATACAACAGACTTCCAATGATCCCTCTGTAGTGAGTAGCATCAACATCCTTTCCATTATCATCCCTGCTTTTTTTCTCATGTGTTGGGCATGGTGTTCTAGCACTTTTGCAGTCACTCATATCGAACTTCTTCAGCATATTCAGAGCATATTTATTCTGTGATATGAAGATTCCATCCTCAGACTGTTTGATCTGTAGACCCAGAAAGTAAGTCAATTCACCAATCATGCTCATCTCAAATTCTTTTTCCATGACTTCAACGAATTTCTTAACATGTACTTCTGAGGTTGCACCGAACAGTATGTCATCAACATAGATTTGAGCCACCAGTATGTCTTTACCATACCTGATATAGAACATGGTATTGTCTACACCTCCCCTAGTGTATCCTTGTTTGCATAAATGTGCTGTTAGCCTCTCATACCAAGCTCGCGGTGCCTGCTTCAGACCATAAAGTGCCTTGCGCAGTTTAAATACATGCGTTGGATGTGCTGTATCTTCAAATCCTTTGGGTTGGGATACATAAACCTCTTCTTTAAGATATCCATTCAGAAAGGCTGTTTTGACATCCATTTGATATAGTTTCATGTTCCAGACACATGCAATACTGATGAGTATTCGAATTGATTCAAGTCTTGCCACGGGCGCAAAGGTTTCTTCAAAATCTACTCCTTCCACTTGTGTGTATCCCTGAGCCACTAACCTTGCTTTGTTTCTTATCACATTGCCGTCTTCATCAGTTTTGTTCCGAAAAATCCACTTCGTGCCAATGATGTTCACATCCTTAGGTTTTGGTACCAGTTCCCATACCTGATTTCGCTCAAACTGTGCAAGCTCTTCCTGCATTGCGTTTATCCATGCTTCATCTGTCAGGGCTTCTTTGACATTTCTTGGTTCAACTGATGAAGTATAGAAGGCATTGATCATCTCAACATAGTCCACCTTCTTTTTCCGAGTGCGCATACCTTCTTGTGGATCTCCAATCACATTTTCTAGTGGATGGTTCTTTTGAATGTGTGTGGGCACTCTGACTTCTTCTGGTTTACTTGCCTGTGGTTCTGCATCTGGTTGATCTTCTGTATCTGATGTTGATGAAGCTTCTTCAGTTTGCTGTTCAGCAGATGGTTCATCATCTCTTGTGTCACTGTCATCCTTCCATAGTGCTTTGTCATCTACTATGACATTAATTGACTCCATGATTGTTCTAGTGCGTTTGTTGAATACTCTGAAGGCTTTGCTGTTTGGTGAGTACCCCAAGAATATAGCTTCATCACTCTTTGCATCAAACTTGCTTCTATGCTCTCGATCTCGAAGAACAAAGCATTTTGCTCCAAAAATGTGAAAGTGTCCCACGTTTGGAGTTCGCCCTTTCCACAGTTCATATGGAGTGGCTTGAGTTCCACTTCTTATATACACACGGTTTATTGTGTAGCAAGCTGTGTGTACGGCTTCGGCCCAAAGATTCTCTGGTAATTGTTGTGTGTGAAGCATAGTTCTTGCCATTTCCTGCACATGCCTGTTCTTTCTCTCGGCTACACCATTTTGTTGTGGGGTTTTAGTGCTGAGAACTCATGTGCTATTCCATGTTCATCACAGTAGTTGCTGAAGGGTTGGCTGTCGAAATCCCCACCATGATCACTTCTCACTCGTATAACCTTTTGTATCTTCGACTGTTTCTCATTTTGGACTTTGTTGCAGAGTGTAGCAAAAGCATACAATGCGTCATCCTTATGCCTTAAAAAACATACCCATGTATATCTTGTAAAATCATCAACCATCATGAGTACAAATCTCTTGCCTCCAATACTCTCAGTTTTCATAGGTCCAAACAGATCTATATGCAGCAGCTCCAAAGGACATTTTGTGGATTGAAACACTTTGACTGGATGAGTCTTGCGTATCTGTTTTCCCTTTTGACAAAGACCACATATCTCTGCCTCTTTATTGATGATTTTGGGTAATCCTCTCACAGCTCCTGAATTTGACAGAGTTACAAGATCTTTGTAGTTCAGATGCCCCAGACGATAGTGCCATAATCTTGCATCTTTTCCACTTGCTGAGAAACAAAGGATATTTGGGGTTACTCTATAGCAGTTATCAGCTGTTCTATCACCTTCAAGCACCACTTGCTTACTTTGGTCTCTCACTCTACATTTTTGCTGTGTAAAGAATACTTCAAGCCCTTGGTCACATATTTGGCTTATGCTGAGCAGGTTCACCTGTAAGCCTTGGACTAACCATACGTTTTTGATAGGTGGTAGTCCTGATACGTTGAGTGTGCCACTACCAACTATTTTTCCCTGTGCTCCACCACCGAAGCGAACACTTCCTTGTTCAAGTGTCTTGACATTTATGAGATTTTCTCTGTCACCAGTCATATGATGCGAACATCCACTGTCAAGAAGCCATTGATCTGGTGTGACCCTGTAACAAGTGTTGGCCACAGAAGCATATTGTTTAGGTATCCAGATTTGTTTGTAATGTCTTGATGTCCACGGTTTCCTCCATCTTGTGATACACTGTCGTTGTATGTGTCCCCATTTATTACAGTTAAAACATCTGTAGTGGTGGTAGGGATTCCTGTACAAGGATATTTGACGCTCCTTTTTGATCTGACGTGTATCGGTTGATGTAGTTACTTCAGAAGCTTTGACAAACTTGACTTCAAGGGATTGTGACATCTTTCCTTTGTCTGTAAATCCAATGCATGTCATGTCTCCAGGAGATTTTGCCTTGATCGAGTGATGATCTAGTACCTCTGCTCCAGCAACCTTGATCCATTTTTGATAGGACTTTAGTTGGTTTATCTCAAATGACAGGTTGGTTTTTTCTCCTTCAAGTTCTTCAATTTTCCTGGTGAGCTCTTCAATTCTCTTCTTCAAGGCATCAACTTCTGAACTCAGTCTGTTCTTGTCTGCAACATTTCTTTTATTCACCATCAGAAGTTCTGACCATTTTTCTTGCAGGTCCTCAAGTTGTTCTTCAACACTCACTTCATCATCTAGGTCAGCACTTGCAATAAATGCACAGTTAGATTCTTCATAATCACCCTGATCTTCAGTTTCATCATCACTCCACGTTGCCTTGAAAGCTTGTCTCTTCTTCTTTAGATTGTTTGCACACTCAGACTGGATGTGACCATATCCACCACACTCAAAACACTGTGGCCCCTTCTTCTTTGCATAGTTAGGATTTTCTGTGTTTTTGGCTTCTCTGTACTTAGCATCTTTTGATGGAAGCCCCTTAGAGGTGCCTTCAAATCTTTGATTTGACTTCTTCTGAATCCACTGCTTCTTGAATTGTCGGGTGAACAGAGAAAGTTGCTCTTGGAACTCTTCATCAAGTGACCAGTCAAGTTCTCTGTCATCTTCCTCCTTAGTGCTGGGAAAGGCTATCTGCTTATCAGGTTTCCTTTGCTTACTGTCTTCTGCCATGTCCAGTTCAATTGATTCCAGTATTCCCAAAAGTGCGTCAAGCGTCATGTTTTTGATGTTGTGGGAACGTCGAATGGCCTTGACATCCATCTCATATTCTTTTGGAAGTGACCTCAGCACCTTGAGAACCAGCTTGTTTTCTGGAATAGGTTCATTTAGTCGTGCAGCCTGGTTTGCAATATCTCTAACTCTCCCATGAAATTCAGTGATCTTCTCCTTCTCGTCCATGTGCAGGTTTTCATATTGAGTCATCAAGATCTGATATTTTGCAGTCTTCACTTCCTCATCTCCCTCATGCGTGACTTCAAGAATATCCCAAGCTTCTTTGGCATTGTCACAGTTTGAGATGAGCTTGTACTGGGTAGAGTCCACTGCCCCAAAGATTGCATTTAGGGCTTTGTCATTAAACTCAGCTGCAATTACTTCAGTTCTGCTATATTCTTCGAATGGTTTGATTCTTGACGTCGTCAGATCATCAGAGTATTTGCGTGGTTCAGTCCACCCAGTTTCCACACTTCTCCAGACTCCACCACCAAGGGATTTGAGAAAGGCTCTCATCCTGCCCTTCCAGAAATTGTAGTTGTGTCCACGCAGTAGAGGTGGTCTCTGAACATTCGCTCCTTCTTCCATGTCTCCCATGATGCGATCGATAGCTAGTAAATTAAGCTATGCAGGCTTTGATACCAAATGAAATTTCCACACCAACAGCACAACAGATAAACCAACAAACACACGCACTTAACACAGCAGAAAGTAGTTAGAAACTGTGCTGTAGCGCAGCAACTAGGATTCACAAACTGCTACAACACTTTTTCTAACACCAGAACAAATAAACGAAAGCAAACAAAGACACAGAGATTTGTTTACGCAGTTCGGAGCCAACTCTCCTACGTCTGCGAGGCCCACATCCGTGTAAAAGCCTTTCCACTAGATCATCATAAGAATTACACAATCAGACTTAACAGATCCTTCTATTGAACAGATTTGTCTACTTACGTGATCAGACTCCAAACTCTGTTTGTGGTCAAACCAGGCCTATTACACCTTCTCGTTGCTCTGCAATAAGGATGTGTTCTTGACCTTTGCTCAGTCTCTCACGATGCACAAACTGAACAATACTTCAGAGAAGATCCATGGCTGATCTTCTTGCTGTAATCTCTCGTATGAATATATGACACGCTCTCTCAGTAACAGATTAACTCTCTCTTGTTGTTCTCTCTCTATCAGCTGAATATATCTCTTTATTTCGCACGCATCTGCCAAGCGTTAATCCCCTATTTATATCACTGGAATCGTATAGGATGAAACCCTAACCTGTAGTCTGTTAAACTCTTGCGCATGCATTGAGTCCAGAGGGAAGACGTCGATTAGGAATCCTTCGTTGAGCAGATCTTCTAGCATAGAGTCCTAGTCCAGGTTGCCATGGGGGATGACCAACAACACAAGTCTACTATCAAAAGGACACTACACTACTATCAACTCGTGGTTGTGTGTTGTCAAAAATAATGCCAACCCAAATGCTAAAAAATAAAGAACCGAATATTAAGGACCTAACAACTTGAACCCTAAGGACATTATGTAAAATCAACACCAAATATATTAATCTTAAATCTTTTAAATGTCAAAATCAAAAATATTTTTAGAATTAGAAGAAGCATTAAATAATACTAATAAAAACACATAAGCAAATGTAATTTATCGTGACATATACTACTACTTTGGAAAATAATAATTAGTTTTTTCAAAGAGCAATGCTACATTATATTCACAATCTTTTTTCTTTCTTATTCTTTTGTTAATTTCTTTATTAAAACGCACACAAAATCAAACAAAAACAGGATACATCTCAAACATATAATTTCTCTTAGCTGAAAATTTGTAATAAAAAAAAGTGAATTAAAGTATATTGTGGCAGATGAAACATATCTCAGTACAAATTTAATTTGTATGAAGAGAGAATAAAGTCCCGATATTTTTTTTTAGATTTGTACATACCATCATGAGATTAATATTTGTTGTTGATTTATTTCATGCACGCTTTCTCGACAGCTAATATTAGCTCTTTTTGTACAATTCCATGAATCCTAACCACCCAACAGGTCAATATTTCTTAATCTTTTTAACTTTTTATGGGTGTATATTGTATAATTAAATACTTTATGCAGAGTATAATTAATGAACATTGCGAGTACATTTTACATCGTACATAATTAGTCACACGTGTTTCCATATATTATTGTAATCTAAAATGTTGGGAAGTTGGTAATCAATCAAATGGGATTATGTTGAATGTTGATGGATGTTTAAAAAACTATTTTTACACACATTTTTTTACCTTATCCATCACTTTATAATTTTTTTTACTAATTTATCATTCACATTTTATTTTTGTCTATCACACAAAAGACAAAATTAAAAGTAAATTATAATTTAACACTTCCTTATCTTGACAGTTGATTAAAATGAAAAGTATTTTCAAGAACGTAGGGAGTAAACTTTATATTTCCCTATTCTTAATATTCAATAAATTAGTTTCACACTTCCCTATTTGTTTATATATTTGTGAGAAATTTACTTTGCTGTATTTACAAATTCTTTCCCATTATCCCTTCGAAAAATCTGAATATTTGAATTAAATTGAGTTTTAACCATTTTTTCAAAACTAGTGAAAACAGAGTAAGCTTCAGATTTGTGTTTAAGAGGATAAATCCAAGTAAATTTACTAAAATCATCAACAAAGCAGATGTAGAAACGAAAACCAGAGATAGATGGAACAGAGGTTGGTCCCCAAACATCAGAATGAATTAGTTGAAAGGGCGCTGTGGTCTTATGTTTAGAGAGTTCAAAGGATAAACGACAAGACTTAGACACATGACAGGACTCACAATGTAAGTGATCAGAAAATTTAAACCCTAAAGTAGACAAAATATACTTGGCAACAGCAGGAGCCGGATGTCCAAGCTGACGATGCCAGGTGGATGCAGTGACAGCTTGACGCACAACAGGGATAGGCTTGGAAGGAAGGGTATAGAGACCATGCTCACAGGGGCCCGTGTACCGCACCAGATTCTTATCGTTGTCCACTATCTGAAAGGAGGTGGCATTAAAGACAAGAGTGCAATTATTATCTTTGGTAAAGCGGTAAACGGACAGTAAGTTTGAAGTAAGGGAGGGAACGTGATTAATGGAGTGGAGGTGAAATTTACCATTCGGGGTGTGAATTGAGCCTGAACTTGTGTGAGTGATGGGTAAAGTATGACCATTACCTACAGTAATAGTTTCAGTGCCATGGTAGGGAGTTGGAGTTTGCAGCTGTGAAAGATCATGCGTAACATGAGTATTAGCACCTGTATCAAGGTACCAATCACCAGTTTGGTTGCTTGTGGTTGCATGCATAGCACGAGAATTGGTAGCCGAGTTGCTCTCAGTAGAAGAATCATCATAGCGGTACCAGCAGGTAGCAGCAGAGTGGCCACGCTTTGAACAGATCTGACATACTGGAAGATCGCGTGAAGGTCCGCGGCCTCCCCCC